CCAAATAAGGCAAAGAACAGACTTTTTTTTCAAACCAGTTGCTTAATTTTCTCACGATAAGCGTGCAAAACTCCTTGCTGAACCCTGCCAACAAGGAAAAGTTGATTTGGTGCATGGGAATTGCAAGGGAATCGATTATGACTTTCGTTTTCTGCGTTAGTGTCTGTCTTGACGCATTCACTCTTTTCGTGCGTAAATCTTTCAATGGCGCATTTGTCATCTCGAGGTATTTTTCTTATTGATTTTCCACTTTGTTGGCTTCTTCAGAAAACTTATTTTATCCATTGTTTCAATATAACTCATACATTCACTAGTCCAAAGAGCCTAGTCAAGAAGGAGCACGAGCACACACCAACAGTACTGAAGTTTCGCAGCACAGTGAATTATAAAAGAAAAAGAAATAAAAATTACTCAATGATTCATCAAAATCAAAAATTTAATTATAGAAAAAAAAACATAAAAATTTAGACTCCTCTTACATACTCAAATCGCATTCAAATGTATTCGGCTAAACAATATCTTTGAACGAAAAAAAAACGAAAGCGAAAAAATAAGACACTAGACAAAAACAGTAACGAGTTCTATCCGCTCCTTACCTCAGACCAAGTGTTTGTGATTGAACTTTTTTTTGAAGCTAAAGTTGATTAGATAAGAATTGTAGTATGGGGGGGGGGGAGGAGGGTGGCGCACCTACCAAACAAAAAATGCGTCAACGTGAGAAGTTCAATCATAAAAATTCGCAAAAGTCAAGGGGGACTTCGTTTTTTTTTGCATTCTCAACTAACCACTTTGTGCCGAGCCCTGCCAAAAAATAGAAGAAAACTGTCCTGATGCTTAAACAAAATCAATTTACAACATATGTTTTTTGTAATGTATAGCAAAACTAGTATCTTATAGTACATTTTAGAATATCAATCTGTGACAAAATCAATAAATGGATTTTGAAAAAACCGAAATTCGTAACTATTCGCAGGGAACTCTAATCATTACCGAATTCTCTTTCAAAAAGAGTATGACATTAAACAAGACCCAAAAAAACCGTAAAATTTTACTAGATTTAACAATTTTAGTGACCAAAAATCCAAAAATCACTTCTAGGCATTTCTCTTACATAGCTTATATCGTTGCCATATGCCCCTCAAAAAATTCTGACTCAAGCACTTACAGAAAGCGCAAGATTTTCTCTCTCCGTTATGTATCAAATCGGGAGATTTCATTGAAGCTGGAAGAAGTGACAGAATTTCAAAAATTTTGGTGCAAGAATTATGCATCAACCCTAATACATCGTGTTTTTTAATGTTTTTGGTAACTTGAGCTCTTTCATGTTATAATAAAGAAACCTGCGTAATTCCAGCGTTGAGAGTTCTTTGCGCTAGACTTCTATAACACTTTGTCGTTGGATTAAATGCACTCGGCTCTATTCTGCGTGTCAATAATCCCACACTCTCCGTCGCCATTCCGCACTCAATTAAACAAACACACACAGCAGGCGGCGAAATGATAGTCGGATCGTATTGGCTGGAGGAAAAAGTGACGGCTTTGGCATTTCTCATCATTTCTCTCATTATCTTTACTTTGAGGATTTATTTCATCTTCTAGGAAGAATTTCACATTGTTCCTTTTGCTTTCTGGAATTCTTCAAGCCAAGCGACTCTCCAGCTAATTTGTCGATGTCCTTGCCAGTTGCGAACATCTCCGATGGCCTTTTCAGAAGCTTATTTTCCCTAATGGCATCGTTATCGCGCCTGCTTTGCCGCCCGCTCCCGCTCCGCCCACCATCTTCACTCGCTCCCACGGAAGTTGTAGACAAACGTATTTATCTCGTAGCTCCTCGTATGTGGCAATCGTGGGATTATCTCGCTCCATGGCAACATCCATGTCCATCTCTATGACAATCCATCAGTCCCATCATCCAAACTTGTGTAGGCAGATCACTTGCAGTTACATTCTTGCAAAATAAAGTCGTCTTTTTCCTTTAGTACCAGTTTTAGACCAAACTTTGTACTTCTCAGAAATTAGTGTTTACTTGCGAAATTCCATCGAGAACAAATTAAGATTGCGCCAGTAATCACGGTGCTGTTTGGAAGAGATCTAATTAGACTCAGAACCTGGGTATTTGACTACTTTGTTTTTGAATGGAATTCCGCGATCTTCGAGATATATGTTTCTAGAGATTCAGCTAATCCCAATAAACGTAAAGGGATTATGTCTAAAAATCCGATTACTCAATCAAACGTTTTCATATGGCCAAATTTGAAAAAAAAGGTGATATCTCAGTGATAAAAAATTTAGCAAGTAATCCATTTTTTTGAATATGTTTTCCAGAAGCACTCAAAAGTTGGTATATAGCAAAGTTTTTTTTATTCATATAAAGCGTTCCATTTTCAAGATACTGAAAACAAAGCGCAATGCACTTTCTCTGAACTTTTTTATAGAAAGGAGTTACGACATCCTCACAAAGAGTTTACCACAAAACGTTTTGGATTTTGAAAGTAAAAACTGCACTGCATACAATTGAAATCAAAACGTGTTTTCTTTGTTTATTTGTTATTATCGTTAACGCTTCCAGTTGTGCGGGTTCAATGTTTAAACATTTTTTTTGAAAAGCGGATAATATCACGATTTCATTTGTAGCAAACATTGTTTATACTAATTTCTTCCCCAAACTGAGTTTCCTTTTTCCTTTTACCCTGAATTCTGGAGAAACTGAGGAAAAAGTGATGTTTAAAACCTTCCACTGCAGGATGTATGAGCCGTTGCCAGTCAAATGAGATTCTTATGTAAAAAAAAGTTAGAGATGAACTGACTGGGAAGAAAAGATTCAATAAAATGGCAACTGAAACAAAACACCACAGCACTAGGTTGGAACATAAGGCTTGCACCGAAATTTTCTCCTCTGTAATTTTCTACTGCTAAAAACGCTAGTGGTCTAATACTTTTGTTTTTTTTTCTGGTTTGGATAAAATAAATTTTGAAAGGTGTCTTCACAAATTACTTCTTTCAAATTTTGTTTTAGATATTTTATCAAATATTCTAAAATATACAGTAAAATACTATACACATTACGTACAAACGAAAATTATCATATTGATGATTTTTGAATAGTGCATGACTAATGACCAACTCAGTAGAAATCTTAGGAGTTAAATCTATTAGAACTAACCAGATTGGAGAAAATGAGCACTTGAAGTAATTTTCTTCATGAGCATGTACTAAATGCTCGCTATTTTGATGATTCTCGCAAGCAACCTTTCATCAAACTTTTTCTTTCAACTGAACTAAGCTCTCAGTCTCACAGAAGGTGGAAGCCTTGTCTGGAAATCACTCATAGTTCTCATACGCTCATTTATAAATAGTTCACACCCTGCGAGCAGAAATCTCTGCGTAGAGAACCAAACAAAAACTCTATTCTCATGGCCTGCAGCCTTTCCGGGAAAATTGAGTTCATGATTAATGAACATAAAAACTATCAGAACGAGCTGAGAACAATGAAAATGGTGAGCAATGCTGAGGCTTATGATTTATTGGGATTGCGCTTGCAAAAAGACACGCACTTTGTAGTTTGAACAAAAAAACACAGACACACAGCCAATTACTCAAAAGCAATTCAAAATTCGTCTTTTTTACCTCAAACATTTCTGCTTATGGTCGTATTTCTGATGCTAAATGACCTACGACTGATTGAATCTAAAAAGGCTAATTTTATAGTTACGTACTTCAGTGATAGTAATATGTGTTAATGTATGCTATATCTGCTAGCTAATCTCTTTAATCTAGCGATTAATTTGTGAGTCTTGATTTCCGTTGGATCATATATCCGCTAGCGCTCAAGATCGTATAATCCCATACGAAAAAGTAGTAAACTGATATAAAAACTTTGAGTAGATTTTTCTACTGAACTTTTGATCTTCCATCCTTTTGAAGGATGCTCGGGAGAATGCTACAAAAGCAACATACTTCTTTGGAGGGAGAAAACGAGACAAATATTACTTGAAATTTTTGATCTCCAGTCAAAAAGGACTGCTTAGCATTAGAAATTATCGGGGAGATAGCTGCACTGAAAAATCGCAGTTTTCCTCATTCAATAAACCTAACTTTTTTCTAGAAATAAAAAGGTGGCTTGTGGACCATAACATTCCTTCGCTTTATAACAAGTCCTTTGAGCTGGTAGTCTAAAGTAACATTAGCATAAAATCGAAAAAAATTACGATTAAGAGTTGACATTTCCTATACAGACCTACCACTAATTCTAGAAAAAGATATTCAGTTAATACTGTCAACGCGAGAAAATTTCTCAGAAAATTATGCATTATGCCAAACATACCAAAAATATTGAATTATCATGTACTTGAAACACAAATCAGTCTTATGTTCGCAACAAGGTAGGTCTAAGGAACATGAAATATGTTCCAACGAATTATTTAGGAGATGGTTCTGAAATTCGTAGAATTGGATCATAATGAAATTGTGCTTAAGAAAAGCACCGAAAGATGTGTGTTGGATAGTATCAAACTGCACAAAAAGGATGATGCAACCTGAATAAAAAATTATACATTTTTCGTGACATCACAAAAAATTTTTTTCGGGTTCTTGTCACCCGTAATCTTACAACTAATCCTCTTTGACCTTCCACGTAGCTAAATACTTCAAGCATACATCCCAAATGCGCTGAAATTTCTTCCCCTGCCTGGAATTCAATATCGATGTTTTTTCTCTCCACTTTACCTTTGCTGAAATATGCACCTGACGGAGCTATTTGACTAGTTTATCTATTCAGCAGCTTACATTAAACCTCACTTGCACTCGTATTATTTATAGCTCTCTCATGCCAATGTGTAACATTCACTTCGTTCACTAAGTTTATAATCGATTTGTTGTATTATGCGTCTTTTTCCCAATGAAGTTTTTTTCTAGTCACAATTCTATGTCTACGTCTGCAGTTTTTGAAAGCCGTCTTACATGAAAAACGTTTTGAAAACTAGATAATTTTGTGTTTCCAGATGGACAAACCATCATCATCCTCATCGTATTCGAGCAGTGATAGAATCCGGCTAAATGTAGGAGGAAAGATTTTTGAAACAACGCTATCCACCTTGACGAAAATTCCGGATACAGTGAGTTACGCTACCTTTCAACAAAAAAATGCTCCAAAAATCCCCGTTTAGGTTTTATCAACTATGGTGGCTGAACGCTGGAGGGGCGAAGGAGAACTGTTCATAGACCGGGATCCAACACATTTCTCAAAGGTACTGTAGCCTTTGTTTAACGATAGTGATACAGTAGTCAGTCATAAGTACGAGAAAAAGTAACTGGTCCCAATTTTTCTACTGTGTTGATACATTTGTATACAATTTCAGATTATTCCAAAAAAAAGTTCCGATGAAAGCGTTCTTTTGGAGAAACGAAGGCCTTTTGAACGAAATTTTTTGTTTGTAATTTTGAAGCATTTACTGAATAGACTCTAAGAGACCAACATTACCATTGAATCTTTTTAAAGATGCTATTCCATGCTTGAATGGCCTTGAATAACAATTAGAAAAAGTTCTTCTTTGTCTAGTTACTTGAAAGTGCGCATGCTCCAGCGCCTCCCATCATTAAAAATTAATGAATCTCATGTTAAATTCGAATAAGTCGGTACTTGCTTGATTTGGAACGAACTCATTAATCTGAGACTTCCGCTCACATCAAGGCTCGGAAATAGCGTGAAATCGCAAAAATGCTAACAGAAATAGAAAAGGTGCGAGTAAGGTGCTTTTTCCTGCTTCCTTCTTTTTGAATAAAGATTGATTTTATGGCAGGGAAAAAGAAGTGGTTAGTTAGAATTTTTCCCTAAATTGCATTATGTTCATTAATGATTGAAAGTGTCCTCCACACCCTCGAAGATTAGAACTGAATCAGGAGAAATGCTAGCTGTTGATGTCTGCCGCTGATTTGGGGCAAGGAAAAAGGTGAAAAGATTTCCTGAGTAAACTCAATGTTAACTACAAATTCCAAAATTTTTTGGCATTTTTTTGACTTTGGCTGATAACCCTAAATTTCAAGAAACAAAAAAGTTTTTTTTAGCAAAGCCTCAATCATCTGATAACTGCAAGCAAAGCAATCTTATGACCAGGATTGAGCATGGGGTCAGGCGTGTCCCACCCGGGATTCTATTGGGGGTAAGACTGAAGAGGGGGGGGGGAGTCTTAATCAAAACTAGTTCATTTAAGAAAGTGCGAAAATACTAAGACAGTAATGAAGAAGAAAATAGGCCCCGGGTCAGGAGTCACACCGCGCGCGGCGGTGTTAAAGTGGCACGGCGCCACAGTAGGGGGGGGGGGGGGTGGCGGCAGATACATGACTCGATGGCATAAGTAACATTGCCGCAGGAGTACTGACGGAAGCTGTGCTTTGTACTGCTTGATGTCGCGTGCGGCGTCGCTTCGCGAAATATCGTGACTCCTGACCCATACCCAAGAAAATAGAGAGATCGGCGAATATTACAATTCTAGAATTGAAGAAATGGCTGTCGTGAACAGCAATTTGATTGCTTTAGAATGTTGCACTCTGAGGTTCCGGAGGTGAAGAGAGGGAAGAATGGGTCGTTTGGGGGCTTTCAGGGGGAGGTGGGGGGGAGGGGGGGGGGGAGTCGTATTCGAAAGACTTGTGCTTGATCTCTTGCTCAACTCTGCTTACAACTCTGTACACCACTATCATTAACAATATATTTTTCCAACCAGCGAAAATAGTGATCTGTGATTGTTTATGGGGATCTAAGCAATTAATATTACCAAAGTAGTTTTGAATTTTTGATCCAATATTATCTGTATTTTTGTTTATTTCATTGTGAACGTTGATGAACGCAAAAGTTACTTGATTTCAGATCCTGAACTACCTTAGAGATGGGGATGAATTCAACGTTCCTGTAGACAGAGATGCATGCGAAGAGCTGAGGAGGGAAGCTCAGGTAAGGCTCGTCTGACTTGATCAGTAGTGGTCAAAAAATGGTGGAGGGGGGAGGGGGGAATAAAAAACTCTGACTGCTAAAATGAATTATGATTGGCAGCTCAGTCGCAAACCCTGAACGTTTTCAAGTTTTCTGCATTCTTTCATATTATGAAAATTTTTAAAAAAATGCCAATAACATCCATGAAAATTTTTTGCGAGGCCGATGCGTTTTCTGAGAGCTTCATAATACAAGAAGAAAAAGGTGTTGTTTTTTTTTCGACCCTTCATTTGAAGGGATTTTCGATTTCTAGCCCCTCTTTGGCTTCCTCAGTAAACAAAAGTGTAGATTTATTTGCTAAAAATATTCAGAAGAAAAGCTACTCTAATTTTATTCAGTGACTGTATAATAACTGTTATAGACCATAATGAAGCGACAGTCTCACTGATGCTTTGCCGCTGGGGACATGTAAACAAAAATTTCTTGCAGTTCTACAACCTACCCGGACTTGCTGAGTTATGCTCTCCACAAATGCTAAATGTTGGAGATGAGGTACAATGGCGCCGAGAAGCTGTGGACCTCTATTGGAGGCCATTTGTTAGGTCAGCATTGTCTATAATTCGATTTTGGATAATCACTTAATGTTCAGCAGTTTTCAGGTACATGGTCGATGACTCGCTCACCCTTCCATTCATCTACGATAGGTAGGGATAGGGAGCTTTCTATGTTCCCGGGAAATTGACAGATGCATATTTTTAGGAACAATCACACCCTAGCAAAATGTATTGGTTGCGAAGAGTACCAAGATCCAAAGTGCTCGTATCTGTTTGACATTCGATATGAGGACTGGGCACCGATGAAACATCACATGTTGCTGATGAGGGGAGAGATTACACAGGTGACGAGAAGTTGACATTTTGAAATGAAATCACAGAGAAAATAATATTCCCATTTTTTGCTGACGAATTGACGAAGTCAGCGTATGTCCAACTTTTACCCTTTTGCATGAATGCAAAAGCTCGGGAGACATAAAATGGGTACAATCAGTTTTTTGCAATTTAATATGAGAGGCTCGCGCAATATTCCTTGCCCCATGGCATTAGATTCTAATCAGTCTGTAAATCTCATAATCAGATATTTGAATTTGTTATGATAGCTAGACTGTCAGTCATGACATTCACATCTTTGCCCCTATGTAAGCTCCAAGTAAGAAGAAATTCCAGAAATTGGCAAGTTAATTCTTAGTCCGCAGAAGTCGTAAAATGCCATGTGTTATGTGCAGTACGCACATTAAGTTACAGATAATTTGACCGTTGAATATTGTCATTTGTCTGCTCTTCTACTTTAGGTTCTTGCAATTAGATCCTCAGTTTCAGTTTTACAAAACCACGACCGGATTAGCGATCTTATTCAATATAGACTAAAAAAAAGTGTCTGAAAATTGCCTAGAAAAAAATTTGGCAGGGTCATTAAATTCCACAAGATTATTATTTTAAAAAAATGTTTCGATCAATGACAACTGGAAACAAGTCACTAGCGCAGTCTCTTAACTCAACCTTTAAAAAACACAAGGCCAAAGCCCGTATGACGTCATAATCTTGAATGATTTTAGCTAATGGGTGAGCAGTGCTGTATTATCGCATGGGATAATGGACAACAGATCCATCTGCCAAGATCAGCAGTGCGAAGAGCTGATCCTATCTAATGGACATCTCCAGATCTCACCAAAGCTGCTCTTTTCTTGCTTATCCTTCGTAATCATATGATGATCTGATTTTTTGTACAGTTCTAAGGATACTCTTGCAATCCGAGCGCATTTCAATATGTGGAATTATGCAATGAAGTTCTGGCAATAGCATAAAGATTTTGTGTGCGAATTGAGCCACTTACGAATGTGCAACAGCGTTCTTAGGTTAGAGAAGTGCTAAAGAGCCATCGCCCTTCTCTATGCAAATGGTAGTTCACTAAACTTACTTTGTTTTAAAGCTGAATCGGGTGACTCTAAAAGAAGTCAAAAAAAGTTTTTTTTATTAGTTTTCAATTTCAACGAGAAAGCATGTTCAGACGATGTAGAAAAAATTGGAAAAATTGCAGATGTATTCTCGAAACGGGCTGTTGATATCGTCTTTTGATGAATTATGGATAATTTTCAAGAAATCTACTTTTGAAAAATCGGTCACTGTAGGGCTGAAGGTACGTAATTCTGCAAACGTGCATAGTTTGTGCCTAATTACGTCATATATGTTTCAAAGTTTTAAGACATCTTGGAGAGAATTCCGAAGACACTGGTTTGAAATCACGCCATAACTCGAAAATTGAAAAGCTAGGAAACGTAGCTATGATCCAAAAATTTCCATGAAACCGGTCCAGGAATACTTTTGCCCTTCGCCGTAGGGGGTGGGGCTCTCCAGTGAAGTAAAAATCCCTGAGTGAGCCTATTCAAATTTCCGGTGAGTTTTACCCATCAAATAGGTTGCTCTGCAGTATCATGTATCGGCGTGCAACATATCGCACAGCTTATGATGACTTTTGCAGGTCAAGCGAATGCAGAGAGAAAATCTCACTTATTACCGAGTTAGTGATGTCCAAAATTTCGAGGAGTTTCAAAAAAAAAACCGGAAAAATTGAAGAATGTTGGAGGATAATGTGAAAGAGTTTAAGCCATGTAAGGGCTCCATTCAAAGCATAGAGCTTACCAACCACCGTCGTCGTGGGTATCCAGCGACGAGGCTGCAAGCGCGCGACGCAAGCAGCGGAATTAGCGCCCGAGCAAAAAGCACCTGCTGTTAGATCTGTGATCTTATTATTCATGTTTCACATGCTATGCTTGTATCAACACCTCAAACTTCTTGTCTGCCATGTCGCTAACGAAAAACAGGTAATATGGCTGTGTGTGACCGCATTTGTCTTCGACACTCATTATGTCGCCAATCCGAGATTAACAGATTTGAGAACGTTGCACACCTTGTTAACATACTCGTACATGTTTCTCCTCTAATCTCTAGTAATAGACCAATCAAATCAGGTAAACATAACATTTTCTCAATCAGACCTGTGCAAAGCGTGCTAAAGTCTCCCAATCTTAGTAGGGATGGTAGTCTACCCCATGCATGAGCGAAAAAAGCGTACCGTCCCTGCTTGGCACTCTTCACTCAAACGGAATGATCAGAAGTGTTATGTAGTCGATACAAGCACAGAATCTACTTTAACATGAGAATAGAAGGTAAATCGAAGATGTACAGGCGATGAACTGACATCACAAGTCTACACGCGGTTAGCTTTTGCGCTCAAGTGCGATCTCCTCTGCTTGCAGTGCACACGCGCTGCCTCATCTCCTGGGTACCCGCGACCGATGGTGGTTGGTATGCCCTATACCGAAAGTTCAAATTAAGCAGCGTTTAAGTACAAGACTACAGACTTTCATCGCTGAAAGACTCAAAAATTTTGAGTTGTTTTGATAAATAGGGAAAAAATTCGGAATTGTTGTAGAAATGAGAAAACACGAAAGCACGAATGAATTCTCAAAGGTAAGGGCTGTTTCATACTGCAGTCGCTGCAGCGACGGCAGTCGATCAATCGATACCTTTTGCCCGCCCCAATATAACTGCCGTCGCTGCAGCGACTGCAGTGTGAAACAACCCTAAGTAGAGTACCTCATATAAAAAAAATGTTTTTGAGTATTTTAAGAAGATAGAATACCGCTCGTAATTTTCAAAAAAAAGACGCCATTGCCCGATTTATGTGACATCAACGTATGGTAACCATATCTCGCGTCAGAGCGGACGACTTCCTAAACCAAGGACACCATTCGATTTGACTCGGCGCTGTGTATCCTCTGAATATAGAAATGCCCGCTTGGACACAGTAGGAGCCCAGATTCCGCGAATCGTTTCAGAGTTGTGCTTACGGTAGGTTGCCCACTGAGTGCAATGCATCACATGAGTAACCAACATACCGTAGCCAGAAGTCTGGAACGATTGCGGAATCTGGCCTCCTACTGTGCCCAAGCGGGCAATTCTATATATCAAAAGATACACAGCGCCGAGTTGAATCGAATGTGTCCTTGGTTTAGGAATTTGTCCGCTCTGACGCGAGATATGGTTACCATACGTTGATGTCACATGAATCGGCAATCGCGTCTCTTTTTTTTCAAAATTACGAGCGGTATTGTATATGTTATTAAGCTTTGAAAAATCCCTACTTTCCTTGGTATAATCGGAGAAACTTAAGGAATTCAATAAAGTAGAAAGAGCAGCACAGTTTGAAACTTATTTTGAATATTGAGAAATCTCCAAGATTGGAAGTTCTCGAAAAGTAGCGAGACCTTCACAGCTAATTAGAAGATGCGTGTGTGCCTGTTTCAGATTTTTAAAAGTAACTCGAGAAAGCACATAAAATACATGCATACGTCGGATATAAACGTACAGTGTCCAATCAATGCAACTTATATTTAAGATGTCGACTAATTCTCATGAAAGCTATCAATTACTATCCTTGGCAGTTTCTCGGATCTCTTAAATCGTGCTTTCAACTTCTTTCCACCTAATTTCTTCTTAACTTTGCTCTTCTCGGAACGTTTTTGGTGATTCCTCGACGGCCAATGGTGGTGATCCTGACGTCGTGTTGTATCTGTGATAGATTTGATCAGTCGAAAACGAAAAAACCCATAGTTTTTTGATTAGCCTGAATTCAAGTTGATTCGGAGCTAACGCGTGACGTACCAGTGCAATGAAATGGACCGGACTGCTCTTCCAGCACAGTTGTAGGATATTCCTCTTTGTCACATACAACAGATCCAATGTCGTCAAATTCCTCAAATTCAGGCCCGTTCGTGACCAGATCCAGCTTTGGTACTGCTTCTTTTCGACGAGACTCTAAAGATTATCTGCAGTGAGTATCCAGTAATATCAAATCGTGTCATATCCTCATCAGTCCTTTAACCTATTCTCACCTTCTACCATAGTAATCGCAATACTATTCAGAAACCATAGCGCATTTTGTCTAAAGTACGATAGGAATACGATCAGATCTAGAAAAATTATGAGATAACTTACCACGCTACATAGAAGATTCAGCTCTGTGAAGCCTCTATTGCGTAAAAATTGTTTCATTATATGTTAAACAGTGTAGCGCTACACAGGCTCTCCTCTAAACCGGAGAAAAAATGGCGCACCTGGTTGCATGAAACCTACCATATGGTGCTTTTTTTATCACACTCAAAAATCTTGATTTCAGGCAGTAATCAACCCATTTCATTGCCTTCCTGTTAATAACAATTTCCTCCGTGTGCCGCTTTTTAACAGGTAGTCTCACTTTTAATAAGGGTAGGAGCTTATCTGAAACTTATACCACCCTCTGTAGAATTAGAGAATGAGCTTTCAGAAGCTGACCCAAAGGTTTTCCTTTTCTCTGCTTCTCTACCCCAATGCTTCGCAGTCCCTTTAAATCATTTTCCTGCGCAGATTCTGATGCAGCCCTCGCCTTCTCTTCTGGTGTTTTTACGCTTCTACAAATCATCTCAAAGATGACTTGATTCTGCTGGTGTTGCAATGCATCGTCGAAGAAAGTGCTCTGAATGGCAAAAGTTCTCCTAGACAAACGAACTATCAGACGGCTTATCAACCATCACTTGTTGTACTGCGTAGGATATAGCATTCCGTTAAGCTCAGACTTGTCCATAAGCTTATCCACAGCACGTTTCCCTGATGATCAACAACTGCTTTTGTTACACAATATAGTACCCTCTTGCAACAATAATGTACAATCGTCTTTACGGCGCACAGATCAGGAATTACTTATTCTTTGCGATCATACGTGTGCAAAGGGGGAACATGGCCTCTCCAGGGTGAAGGGGGTCATACGGGTCCCACCTCTCCAGGGTGAGGGGGGTATGAGGGCCGCTGGGGGGGGGGGGAGAGCGGCCGCCGCTATGAAGGTGCGTCGACCGGGGGGGGGGGCAGTGTTTGTCATTAAATGTATGCTAGCCTTTCTTCAATCCTTCTTATGGACATGAGTAATTTTAAAAGGTCTTGCTTTAACATTTTTCTTATTTTTTACTAGCTGGCTTACCCGGCTCCGCCGTATGTTCCGAATAGAAAATTCCATTTCTCAACCGATCCGGACCAAACTTGGTACACATACCCTTCGGGCCCCGGCGGGTGTCACAGTCCACTTTTCGTTATCGATCGATGTCGATTTTATCGATTTTTTGCAAAATTTGAGCTACGGGGCTGGGAGTTGCAGAGGGGTGTAATCGAGCGTGCCGATTACGAATACAATATTAGTTTTCGAAACCGTGCATTACTTTTATCGATTTTATCGATTTTTTGCAAAATTTGAGCTAGGGGGCTGGAATTTGGCAGAGGGGTGTAATCGAGCATGCTGATCACCCCCACGGGGGTGATCAGCATGCTTGATTACCCCCCCCCCTGTGCCAAATCCCAGCCCCGTAGCTCAAACTTTGCAAAAAAATCGATAAAATCGATAAAAGTAATGCACGATTTTAAAAACTAATATTGTATTCGGAATCCCCATGCTCACTTACCCCCCTGTGCCAAATCCCAGCCCCGTAGCTCAAACTTTGCAAAAAAATCGATAAAATCGATAAAAGTAATGCACGATTTTAAAAACTAATATTGTATTCGGAATCCCCATGCTCACTTACCCCCCTGTGCCAAATCCCAGCCCCGTAGCTCAAACTTTGCAAAAAAATCGATAAAATCGATAAAAGTAATGCACGATTTTAAAAACTAATATTGTATTCGGAATCCCCATGCTCACTTACCCCCCTGTGCCAACTCCCAGCCCCGTAGCTCAAATTTTGCAAAAAATCGATAAAATCGATATCGATCGATACGAAAAGTAGCCTATGACACCCGCCGGGGCCCAAAGTGTATGTGTGCCA